GGAGCGGCCACTGCACTCCAGTCTAGGCAACAGAGTGAGACTCCAACTCAAAAAAAAAAAATTAGTCAGGAGTAGTAGAATGCACCTGTAATCCCAGCTACTCAGGAGGCTGAGATAGGAGGATGACTTGAGTCCAAGGGGTTGAGGTTGCAGGATCGCACCACTGCACTGCAGCTTAGGCTACAAAATGAGGCCCTGTCTCAAAAAAAGAAAAGATTTCCTAAATGCTCTGTTTCAGGTTGTTTCCCCTCTGGAGGAAGGAAAGGTCTGTGTGTATGTGTGTGTGTGTGTGTCTCATTTTTAAAACTAGGATCTTTATGATTACCTCACCTTGAAAAGAAGTAAAGCCGGGCTTGGTGGCTTAGCCTGTAATCCTGTGCCTTTGGGAGGCTGAGGTGAGTGGATTGCCTGAGCCTGCGGGTTCGAGACCCGCCTGGGCAACTTGGCAAGACCTCATCTCTACAATAAATAAAAAAAAATTAGCTGGGCATGGTAGCGCGCGCCTGTAGTTCCAGTTACTTGAAAGGTTGAGGCGGAAAGATTGCCGGAGCCCAGCAGGTCAAGGCTGCGGTGGCCGGAAGCGGTCACTGCACTCCGGTCTGGGCGACAGAGTGAGACTCCAACTCAAAAAAAAAAAAGAAAAGAAAAGAAGTAAAGATCATGCTGAATGTGTTTGGGTGTAGATACTGAATTTGTTCTTGTTTAGAACCAGATGCTTTTGAATGAGAGCATGACCTGTTCATAAAAATGATGTGTCAATGATGAGGCAATGATGATTAAGTGCCTGACACCTCCCACCTTCACCCTCAGAGGGTCTTAGGTGTAACGAACCAAAGGGAAATGAACCGTTGACTCTGATTTAACAGCTGTGTGTGTGTGTGTGAGTGTGTGTGTGTGTGTGTGTGTGTGTGTGTGCATGCCTGCACATGCGTGGGGTAGGCACTTGTGAGAATGGCCATTTTCTGATGCGCCAGGATCTGGGGCCTATTTATAAAGGTCTGAACTGTTCTAGGCAGCTTATTCAACGAGAACACTTTTGGTTGGTTATAAATCTACTATCCACCCCAATTTATAGATAAACTGGTTAAAATATTTATGGTGTTGACTCTAACAGGTTTGTAACCAGAAATATATAAAGACACATAATAGCAGCACAATAGCAGATACTGAAGTTTAAAAGTGTAAAACACTAGCCAGGCGCAGTGACTTACACCTATAATCCTAGCACTTTGGGAGGTGGAGGCGAGAGGAGTCTGGGGTTTTGAGACCAGCCTGGACAACTTGGTGAGACCTCATCTTTACAATAAATCAAAAAATTAGCTGGGCATGGTGGCAAGTGCCTGTGGATCCAGTTACTCGGAAGGCTGAGGAGGAAGGATCACCTGAGCCTAGCAGATTGAGGTTGAGGTGGCTGTGAGTGTGCCACAGCACTCCAGCCTGGGTAACAGAGTGAGACTTCTATTCAAACAAAACCAAACCAAAAAAACCCAACAACAATAAAAAGTGTAAAACACTACTGTTTTGAGATAAAGAGATGGAGATAAATAAACCAAACAGCACTCCAGAGCTGGTGCCTTGTGTACTTTGTATAGAGTGGTGTGTGTTGCTGTTGGTGGGCAGAGCTGAAGGTAAGGGAAGCATATTCATTAGCCTGGATCCAGAATAATCAGAAGATATACATGAAGACGAACTGTTTTAGTGCATTATTTTGTTTGTTCATTAATTCATTTTATTCATACTTCTTGAACTCCCTGCTCTCATAAGGCAGTAGGGAAGATAGACAAGTAATCACAATTACTGTATACTGAAAAAAAATGTTTTGAGTACTTATGCACAAGTTGCTGTGTTAGATGTTGGGAGACACAAAGCTGAATAAAATATGGTTTCTGTTCAGACGTGAGTGAGGAAGGAAGCATGGGCACAGTAGAAAAAAGTGTTATCACAGATAGACGGATGCTGTGGGAGGACAGGGGAAAAGGGACTAGTGTAAACTCTGGGGAATTGGAAAGGCTTAATAGAAGTGTTATTTCCACTGGGTCTTAACTAATAATGACAATTATGAAGCCGGGCTCGGTGGTTCAGCCTGTAATCCCGCGCCTTTGGGAAGCTGAGTTGAGTGGGTTGCCTGAGCCCGCGGGTTCGAGACCTGCCTGGGCAACTTGGCAAGACCTCATCTCTACAATAAATCAAAAATTAGCCGGCGTGGTAGCGCATGCCTGTAGCTCCAGCTACTTGGAAGGCTGAGGCGGAAGGATCGCTGGAGCCCAGCAGGTCGAGGCTGCGGTGGCCGGGAGCGGCCACTGCCCTCCAGTCTGGGTGACAGAATGAGACTCCAACTTAACAAAAGCCACTTTGTTGAGTATGTACTGTATGCCAGAATTTGTTGACATATATATAAAAAACACTTTAGCTCACCTAAAAATTAAAATAAAAAACTTTTAAGGTTTTTTGGAAATTTTTATTACTAAGTAATACACAAAACAGACATCCTCATCTCTTCTCGGAGAACCATTTCATCCCTGAGACCTACTTCAAGACTTACCTGCAACCTGAGGCAGGAGTTGGGGACAAGGTGGTGATCACGGATG